CTGGCAATAGCTCAGCCATTCCGACGAGTGTCAAGGTGAAGCTAATAAAAGAATATAACTAGCATAATAAATCATACCAAAAAAATGCTTCATAAGCAGATATTTTGCATTAAAGATTATTGTCAATGACATAGTTGATCTTCGTAAAAATCAAACGAACACAGCAAATTACGCAAGTGTGACCAGCAAACCCAAACAGACAAAAGCTCATTTGTTAAATCTGCGATGTCTATCATAAAACAAATGCCAAATATAAATAGCATTGGAACAAAAACACCTACCACAATAACATTCGCAAATAAAACCTATTATACTTATAACTATCAAAAAACCCACTAGCCCTATTCATTCACCATACTAAAACAATAAGCAAATATCCCGTATGACGTGAACTGACTAATGCAATTCCCATTATTGCCAAAGAAAATGCCCGTGCGTTCGAGAACGTACGTATCGACTGGCTGTGCTTCCAAAAATGACGTTTATATGGGAGCAAAGCCAATAACAACTATACCCATTTCAAAACATGTGGGGTCAACACGGTTACACACCGAGTTAACTCGTTGACCGTAAGCCAAATGGTGACGGGCGGAAACGGACGGAACGGACGGACAGACGACCCATGGCAATAGCACTCAGCTGCTGACGATAGTCAAGGCGTGAGGCTATAAATGGAAGATATTGTAAAACGATTTTATCAAATATAATAAAAATTTTTTTTTTGTAAATATAGTTTTTGTATTTACGATCCCGTTGTTATATATATCACAGTAGAACATAGTGAGTAAAAAAAACACAAGAATACAAAATGAAAGTGTCCAAATGACCACTGTAGCGCTCACGCACAAAAAAGGACGCAAAATGAGTGAGTGAGAGAAGTGCAGTGTAAATTGAGCAACCATCGGACGCTACATTATAGAACGAAAGTAGTATACTATGGGAGAACTCCCATTATATACTCTTAGATAAATTATACTGTATAATTTTTATATTGTGAAAATCAATAAATTAATATTATATATGAAATTATAAATAATTTTATATAACCAAAATGATCATAAATTCTGACGTAGATGGGCGCTATACCCGCTCTGATGTTTTCTTAGCATAACTCATTATATCATAATAATAATAATAATAATATAATAATAATAGTTAGTTTCATTATATAATGTTCATAACAGTGAATTTGCATTAAAAGGAATATTTCAATGAAAATCTTGTAAAACGAACCAACCCGAAGTGTGGACACCACACGGACTGTTTTGTTATCGCGTGTCTATATATTATGCATAAATTCCAAACGCCTAATCCTATTTGCATAATTTTTTTTTAAATATCAAACCGCCAGCCCTTTATTCACATACCAAAAATGAGCAAAATCCGTTGAACCTAAACTGACTAATGGCAATTCCCATTTTAGCTAAAAAATTGCCGTGGCTCGAAAGTACGTCGACTGGCGTGCTCCAAAATAGGACGTTTAATATGGGAGCATAGCAGTAACAACTATACCCAATTTCAAACATGTGGATCAAACGGTTCCTGAGTTATCGTTGACCGTAGCCAAATGTTGACAGACGGACGGACGGACAGACGTACAACGGACGACGACCCATTGCAATAGCTCAGCTTGACGATGTCAAGGTGAGCTAAAAATGACAGCACCTGGTTTTAAAATGTACCATCAGAGTGAGCGTAAGATTAGGCTAGTAACTAAGTTTCAAAATTGGGTTTCGAAATGAATCACCACGGGGCGCTACGTCACTTCCGGTTTAACCTTTGACCTAATCCGGCACGGTATTTATAGCCGCAGAACATTTGCTGTACGTGATTTACCACGTTTACAAACTGATTGCGAAATATAATCGAAACACTTCTTGGTCATATTTTTTTCATTCCTTATCAGATAATGATAGCGCTGAATTTAGAATATGAACTCATATAGGGTATCGAGGTCATGCATGTACTTTTACCAGATTATCCGCTGGTGGCGTCACTTCCTGTCTATGACGTCACTTCTGCGGTCACGTGATGTCTCTCGACCAATCAGAAGCCTCCCTCTGGCCCAGGGTCCGGGTACTCTAACTACTCACGCCTGTGGGTTTGCGTGCGTGTGTACGGACGTGCACTTTGCGTGTGCGCGCCTGCATGAATGTAAATAAAAAGGCCGTTGCATATAATATCGACCAATATTTAACGCTGAAACAACGTCAGTTTCAACGTTGAATAGATGTTATATATGTATCAACATTGCATGAACGTATTTTTGGTGTCAAAAATCTCAACAAAATTTCAATCAACATTTAATTTGAAACAACGTCAGTTTCAACGTTGAATGGACGTTGTACATTTCAACGCCACTCGGCAGGGCGCTGCCACGTTGAAATCACGTGACTCGCTTAACCACCTGCTATTTGTCGGTTACACAGAGGCGGCCGAGGATATTTACACACACACATACCCCGCACACGGTGTTCAAACTTCCACACGTGGAAGAAAATATCAAATATGTGTGATCAACGACCCAGATCGAGCGATTTTGCATCCGCCAACGCTGTGGAAATTGGTGCACCACTTTCCACGTGTGGAAAGTGGCACATTAAGTTCGACAGCGTGTGCGGTGGGGGCTTTAGCATTTGCACTCAATCCCTAGGTTTTAAAACTATGGTTCTTCCCACATTAGAATATGATTCGCCAGGTTATACATTTCAGAGGTGCTCAAAATTGCATGCCATTCAGCATAAATGCCATTCAGCCCATTCATTGCCATAAATGCCATTCATGCCATTCAGCATTAAGCGGGCCTTTAATAAGCGGGCCGACATAAAGCTGCAAGATGGGTTTCCAGAAACTATCATGATGGTGCTGATGTTGTTTTGGCTCGTCTTGGTCGTTTTGGTTGTTTTGGCTTATAACTTCTATAAAATTGATCATGGCTAGGTGAAGGTTAGCATTCCCTCTGGCTTGACGAAGCCTGGTCGTTGTACATCTGCGCGTGATCATTGCTTTCGACATGTGCCGTCTTCTAAGGATCCTGTTAAGTTTAGGTTCTTTGTTTCTGTCATTCCTATTGGAATTCTCTCCCTTCGTCAAGTCAATTGGCTTTTTCTACTGCGATCCGGAGTGTTGATCTGTCGATTTGATCAACTTGTCTCTCCGTATTCGTGATAGTGTAGCGACCATTATTACAATCAGGTTATACTGCCAACAGGGCATCCATTTCATTAAGGCTCGCGCTACATGCGTTCGTCAACATCCATAGAGAAATATCAAAGCAATCCCTTATTTATGTGACGGGCTCTGCACAGCAGATCAATACCGCATTGCAGTCGCAGGTAAGCTACTAGGAATCATCGAGAACCGGGCATACCAAATTATTCAGTATTTAATATATCCAGGCCATCTAACATGGCGACCTACGAGAGTGACGATGACGCACGCATTGGCGACGCCTTTGTAGAGGTAGAGAGATGACGACGCATGCAAAGGACATGAGCGGGAAGAGGGGAATACAAATAAGGCGTTGGCGCGTATCGTGGGACACTCTTTTCCTGATCGCACTAGCGCTTGGTACGATCTAGTTCCTGTCACCGGTTTTCTTTCCAATAAGGATACGCCAGCTTGTACTTTATCCATAGTCTTCGCTTTTGACTATCTGTTCTGAGTTATTCTACTACCCTTCCTCGCTCACTCTTGTGTGGCGTCACGCTATACGCTACAATAGTCCCTTGGACCTTTGAAGACTATTATCTATGACGTTATGAGGTTAGCATGTAGTCGGATCTCGTTTCAAACACAAAAATGGCTGAGCGGTTACAATAGCTACAATGGAACAATTACATGGCAAGGCCAATCTCACGTCTAATACCTTCTAAACGTCCACCAGGCATCTACCTTGCGTGTAAATTAGTTCATTCTAGTTCCGGATTTTACCGCAAAAAATTCAAAAGGCCTTATCCAGAAACGAAATAGTGCAACATTGCTGAACTGGTTGAAGGTTACTGTTGTATGCCACATATATATATATAAAAATACATTCTATATCTATGGTGTTACTGTTAGGTTTAGCCCGAGAAAGCACACAATTAAACCATTTAGCTCTAGTTTTTATTTGGAATTGGATTCTCCCCTGTTAATTGTGTTATTGTAACTAACTGTGATCGATACAAGCAAGTGCAAAAATTAGGTGCAGATACGCGATGCTTGTGAAATGAACCCTATAGAAAAGTCACGTATTCAACACAAACACGTTTCAATATAATTCATACGAATAAAATTTTATACACATGCACACAGACTCATATACGAAATGTACAAAATATAGAAATGTTTGTATCTATACAGACAAGTTACAAATATAATTTCACAATTAACACTAATACTTTTGTATCAAACGAGAATAACCCAGACCCCTGCTTGGAATATAAAATAGCGCACTAGCATAATCTACCATAAGTTTGTAACCAGAAATTTCCACGTAAACCTTTGTACTTGAGCCACAAAAATACAACGAGCAACGAGTTATCGAATTAATATTTCTTATAGCCGAATCGTACTCAATATAAACGCTAGACGAAATATTGACGTATTTACATTTTAACGCTTATATATCAGACATGCTTGGACTGTACACATTCATACATGCCATTTTCGTAGACATTTTACATTTACACCTACAGCAGCATGTTCGATAGCAGCTAATAAACCTAAACTTTATTTAAAGAACAACAAATATATACACATATTGAAGACCACTTTCGTTGCAGTAATAAATACAGATTTACACCACCGAGATTTTAATAACACAATTTCACGATTTTACATTGTCAATCGTCACAAGCCTTTGTGACCCTCATATAAAGAGTAAATATAACGTACTTTTAAACGTTGTAACTAAAAAACAAATTCTACATTCAACTAAAAACTGTGAACAATATACACAGATTCTGTATTGGCACCACCACATTTTGAGCATGTTGGCATTACATCTGTGTTCACACAAACCACAAACAATAGTTTCACAGGGATTAGACCTGCCTATACTTTTACCAATGGAATATATGACAGACTACCTCGCGTGATGCAAAGCTACAAAAAGCTGTAGAGTATAAAGATGTAATAAATTATGTGTTCCCACCTGCCATATACAAGTGCCCGTGATCCATCATACTATTTTGTATTTACAGCTACATAACTTTCAAGTAAACATATTTATGTCATTTTTACATATTTAAAATCGTTGAGTAACTCTTTGCCCAAGTTGAGTATGCACAACAATGGGAATGGTAACATTTAGATTCATATCTCATGCAATGCTCTCTCCGTTATACAGTCTTGCATGCAAATGAGCAAAACCATCAACTTTATAAATATGCTGTGAATCTCTGCTATACTGGGCAGAATGCATACAAGGTAAATCGTGGTCATGCTGTGGGTTACTATACATTCCCTGTTTATGGTAGTTGTGCATGCTGTTGTCTGTGAGGTAGATGCCATTGGCAATTTCAGCATCATTATAAAAGAGCTGGTTCTGTGCTTGGTAGTTGGAGGATGTTGCCTGTGGTGGGCGGTATGGAGGAGGGGGTTTCATCGGAATTTGGGTAGGCTGTGGTCTACTCTGAGGTGTATAGTGGGACGTATGAGCAAGTTGAGCCTGCAGACAACAGGTGGACATGTCACCAACCTGACACAGGCTACTGTGACAACAGGACGACACTTCACTCATCTGCGACATGTGATTGTAAGAACAGGATGACATGGCACTTATCCTGAACATACAACTGCAGCTCATGTTGTTCAGGCAATCACCAAAGTGGATCATGTTTAGGTCTCTGTCATCGTAATGCCAGCTAACTGGCCGGCTGGGTTCGTCTTGCACCATGGACATGTGCGAAGCCTGCACACCGGCATGTGACCATCGCCTCGGGTCTGCATCTCCAACGATGTGACAGTGATGACGGTGCACACGACACTTACAGTCTGCCTTATTGCCTGGTGGGAGCAAAGACACGTCATTGCACAGTGCTGCCAACAGTGGTAGGCCCTCGTAACTCTTAGTCAGTCCTCGGATCTCAGTGATGACTGGATGAACGTCAGGGGCCTCACACACCGAGCTGACAGAGTCTTGGCTGACGTGGCCACCAGGTGTCACAGTAGTGTTACCAGCCTTTGTGGCTTCGCTTACTGCCAGGGTGGTACCGGCCATACTAACTGAATGCATCATTGAAATCTGTAATGACATTAATAAACACACAATTAGAATACCCTACTGAAAATAACAGAAAAACACTGCATGCGTTAGTTCCACCAGCTCTACCTTCATTTTTACTACCATCCCAACAAGCAAAAACATTTATATCCTATTCTACTGGATGCTTCCCAGATATTTTAAAATATCTTTAATAAATTTTCACTATTTCAGACAATGTCAAGCAAGTGTAAATTGCCCCGTCCATCACAAAATGTGGACTATCTATGATAGTAGCGAGGTCTTTCTTTATGTAACTCGTGCACATCACCTAACATCATCATGTTTTCTGGACCAGCACTCTACTACGTACCGAATCCGGTTGCTGAGTGGATTGTGATATTGGGAGGGCGGTGGTGCCCTGCGTGCAGGGTCCGCTGCCCATGTTCATTGTGAGCTTCCTCATCGCGGCAGGGTATGACGGGGGTTCGTCGTAGACAAGATCCACCACCTCGGCAACCTCGTCGGATTCCAGCATACCCCACCGGGCGCTTGGTCGGAACGATGACAGTGGCGGTGGCAGGCGCACAGCAATTTGGTCTTCGGGTATATATGGGCTGTCGTTGGCATCAAAGTGTGGCGAAGACTCGGGACTTAACGAGCGACTGTACATGTGTCCACCAGGCATATCGGGCATGTCTGACCAGTCATAGTGTTCGAGCTGAGGTATGCCACTATGTAGATTTCTGGTGTCCAAGTCGCCCAGTGATAGCCATTTGGGAAGGTGCCTGTACTGTGAGTGAGGGCAGCAACTGAGTAGGTCTTTGTACACATTGCCCTTATTGCACAAGTCATGCGCCGACGTCCACTGGTGTATGCTGTCCCCTTGTACATGCGCAAGAGTGGCCTCTGTATCCGCGCTTGTGGATGTCTGCTCTGATGTCGAGGTCACGTTAGACAGTTCTTCGTGCATTTTGAATCGGCCCGAATCCAACTGCGAGAGGTTGGCCGCACACAATGCGGCATTTATTTTGATTTCCTCTGGCAACAAACCCGACAATGCGCCAAGCCCTCTGTGGTTGATCTCTTCGATCGTGTCCGGAAATGCGCCAAGCGACTTTGGCCGCCGCTTCTCTGCCACACCACACCTTTCGCGCAATCTCACGGGCGCACCGCCTTCTACATATATCTGACCAGCGGCCGGCCTTCCCAGCATGCCCATCGCAGGCTTCCTCCTCTCCTCGCTCAAGTCAAAGTATTCGTGTGAGATACCCAGACTGGAGGCGGCAGATTTTAGTGAAGGAGTGCTGGCAGCAAGCGAGAGAATTCCCATGCGCGGTGATTTCTTTGTTGAGCGCCCCGTGCTGTAGTCATTTCTTAACTGATTTCCAGGATCGAGTGCCAACATGCTGTCCACTGACGTGGCACCTTCAATCAATATCAGAGGAATAAAATTAATATCACAAAGCTGAGAGTTCAGTATCTAATGAGTATGCTTAGTTATTTCCAACATATAGGCTAGATTGTTTGTCACCAATCACATGATACGTGACGGCACATAGTTTATTACTGATATAATCGAATGAAATTCATTGCGACGCTGAACAAGTAAAGAGAGACCTGAGATTACGTGTGAGAGTTACTCACCATAAAGTCGTTGGTTTTTCATCCCTGCCTCTAGCCTCTCAGAAGAGAAATCAGCAGACGCCTGACTTGTGGCACCCTCATCCTCATACAGATCGTCTATAGGTAGAAAAGGTATTAGGTATATAGTGTGAATAGGGCCGTTTCATTAAATAGGTTTTCTGGCATATGTAAAACATGAGCTGTCATGTCCACAGTGATAATTATATATGCAAAACAACATGAATTACATCAGAGAGCACTAATTTATGATACATTTAAATCTTAAATATTTAGATAAATATAAAATTGAGCATGCAGGTTACACACTGCAAGATGTACTTTACATTGGACAATTAAACCCCCTAAAGTAATAGCCAGTTACCACCAAAATTCTTTTAATATTGTGTTTCTGCATTGGTTTGTACTATGCTAACTAATAATTCACAAGATTGTAATGGAACCCACATATTTTAAACCTGCAAAACAGATAACACACAATTATAACGTTATGCATCAACACTCTTCAACGAAACTAACTACATTTTACATTATGTATAAGTGTAAAATATTACTTTTATATTGCCATGCGATGCTGATTTGTGGGTGGGTTTAAAACGATAATTTCTCAAATTGGAAAATGAATAAATTTGGAAAAATGTGCGAGTGTTCAATGGCATGTTAGCCTTACTTACTATATACACTTGGTGTTATGCAAGGAGTACTACTAAGTATCATAACGTAAGTATCAGGACGGTTGAGAAAATATGAAAATAGTTGGTAAAAACTATGAGAAATTCTTTCATTAGAGTGGATAAACCTCGCAACAAAAAGCCTACATACACCTACTGTGAGCATACTTGCAGTATGTAAACATCACGAAATGTTCTTATTGAGCCAGAAATGCGCTCCAAACATTGGGATTTTCTAAACCGTGTCCGACCGGGTTTCGGCGTATAGATACACATAAGTTGTTTTGGAGTGAAGAGCCAACAGTAGGCCTACGCTAGCGCAAATAGTTCCTGGAACGAAAACTATATATTTGTTTCCTGATTGCATAAGTAATGTAGATAACATATGATTTAAACAAATTCACAATTTCGTACCGAGTAAACATCGAATAATAAAACATAACATGTGTTATCACAGAAAGGAACTGTTAATGTAGCACAACGTTCGCTCGGCTGTGTACCGGATGTGTAAACACTGTGTAAACATCCCGTGGAGCTACTTTCGTACAATGAGTACTTTGGTTAAGATTTTATGAAGAAATGTTGTGAAAGTAGCAATACAAATTAGTTGTAGTGAATTTTTATAACAGGGACGAGCTCACAGTAGGTATACCTATGCATTTTGCTGCGAGAACATTGCGTTTTAAGATGGTACAATATGTTTAGCTATATTTATAAGTAAATAATGGTAAGAAATAAATAATATCAATCATACATGTTGCTGAGTCATTATTATTTAGCGCCACACATTCAAGATACCTTCGCTTTCATCCAGACTATGTACTTTGTCGCTGACGATTCCTGATGTTGTGTTGGATGAGGCTGTGCTGATGACAGAGAAGCGATTATCTACCACGCTGCTCTTGCCTACGGGAAGCAGTGAAAAGTCATGGAAGGACAGAGTGTGCTGGTATTCCTGCTCCAAGGCCAGGTCCCAGTCATCACTGTAGATGTACGACTCACGATTCTGTCGCATTCCACCTGAGAATAGATACGAAATATTAGATGCCACCACAACACGTGAAATAGACTGCTATAATATTACTTCTTCCCACTTTGCAACATAAACAATGATGTTTTACAACAATGTAAAAATATGACGCTATGCTGATTACATATGTACATGCTCCATGTGTGTAGCATCATAAAAAGCACTGTCTATATAGATATGAAAAGCGAGACCATAATATGTTTAACGTAAACGCCACACACAAAGCAAATGTAATCTAGAATATATAACAGTTATATTGAGATCACAATACCATTAGTCACACTTACTTTTACCCTGCTTTTCCCGTTTTGCGATTTCGTGTAAACGGGGCTGTATTTGCATGTTGAACTGATGCGTGGTTTGGCACAGGGTGAGCAGGTATCGAGCAGCAAACTCTGTACCCGTGTAGTATGTCAGCTTACGTGACTCTGGCCAGCCCTCTGCTCGGATCTCAAACTTCTTTTTCTGCAGAAAGAGATAAAATCAAACCATGTTGTGGATGCTGCAATTATACACTGTCTAGATACTCTGAATCACATTTTCACTAACTAATGTTATATCATTGTGGGCTTTTGCCTCTAAACACTAAGCCAAACAAGCCATTTTCTGTTGATCACATGCCCCCCCCCCCCTCTACACTGCATCATTATAATGCATGTAGAGTTGTCGTGTATAGGATTCTATATTGTGTTGCTTTATATTGCCCCCCCCCCCCTCTACACCAAAGACCGGGATGTTTAAGATTACCTTGTACATTTAATATTAAAGTGTGACATTTATGAGATTGCCACAAATCGGACATAAATAAAAGATTGCAGTCAGTAGAACATAATGCATCGACTACACTACATTCCTCCTCTACTTTGATTAAAAATCAAATTAGTCTGCATTAACTTTAGACTTATTTTAGTACTTCTATATTAAACACGTCGGCTTGGCTGGACCTCAAATGCAAATTTTACAGGTCAACAAAACTTGTTTATCAATTTTAAAACGTTGAAAACGGAAATCACTAAGCTACTGGCCTGTCACAATCTATAAGATTTCTTTAGTAATAGAGTTAGCCATGTTAAATACTACAGTCTCTTAATGTCATCTGTATGTTATCACGAATCTAATTGTCCATAACAAAAACATTGAAATGCGTCTTGGTGGTACGTGGAGAGCATCTAACCGTCTGAAATTCGTTTTGCTCTGCCTCATATGACAACTCGACCGTCACTCTATCATCCATTTCTTCTTCTTCATCTGCGACTGGATGCACGCATTTGAACTTTGACAGATTACGTGTTATCGGCCGATTTCTACGACGAGCAGTTACCATGCTCCGTTTCCGATTCTGCATCTTGTATGGTGGATCTTAAGGTGTAGACAGCTTGTTGGACCTTTGTTGCATTACTATGACTGGATCACCGATTTGAATGATATGCTCTTGTTCATGGCGTTTGTTGTCAGGATAAGACCTCATAGTCTTTCTTTCGTGCATCAACTGCACAAAATCTGAGCTATCTTGTCCACAAGAAGCTTATTTTCTGGTGGTTGCACCATCATCTTTTGATTCTTCAGGTCCTCTGCTGGCGAGATCCTATTGCTGGAGTATGGCATCGCTCAATATTGACGGATAAATCAAACTAAATTAGGCTTCCAACTTCGACCTTCTAGGTTAGACACTTTTATTGTCTTATTTATTTAGTGTCCGCATAAAATGTTCCGCTTCTCCATTAGCCTGTGGCCATAATGGTTTATCATATGGGTCGCATCTCTTCTGCAAATTATGAGAATTCCTCACCGTTAAATGGTCGTCCATTATCAGTTTTCACTGTGAAACTAGAAAGGGCAGTTGTCGCCAACTACATGTATCCCCCGTGAGCTAGTATGAATGAAATATCTCTGTAAGGACGTAGAAGGTAGGTACAGTTAAATAAGTCCCAAAGACAAAGATTTGTTACACAACCCATCTGCCTGAGATGTGCAAGTATGTTAAAATTTGTTGCCTTAGGGGTTTTGGTGCGCGACACACCTTCTCCCCAAGATGTGTAAGTATACGAAGTTTGCTCGCGCTAGGTCAATTAGGGGCCGAGTTATAGAGCGGAAGGAAAATATGATGAAGGTCAATGTCAAGGTCAAATAAAGGTTGCAGTGACCTGGTTTCGGTACTCGACACACCTTCTCCCCAAGATGTGTAAGTATACCAAGTTTGGTCGCGCTAGGTCAATTAGAGGCCGAGTTATAGAGTGGAAGGGAAATATGAAGGGAAATATGATCAAGGTCAAGGTAAAGGTCAAATAAAGGTCGTAGTGATCTGGTTTTGGTACGCTGCGCACCTTCTCCCCAAGATGTGTAAGTAGACTATGTTTGGTCACGCTAGGTCAATTAGGGGTCGAGTTATAGAGTGGAAGGGAAAGTGTCTGCGGCGGCGGCGGCGGCGGCTGGACAGACATGAAACCATAGTATCCCCGCCGACTCTGTCGCGGGGGATTAAATAATCTAGTTTAGGGATTGTGGACTTTGATGACGTAATTGTCACCCGTTCTACCTCTGGACATCTACTGTATTCATCTGCCGCTGCTAGCAAATTCTAGTTCTAATTATATTCACCAGTTGGAGGTAGGCCAGAAAGGTCTACTGCTATTTCTTTCCATGGACTGCAAGGCAGTAATCTCGTCTTCCAGTTCTTCCGCTTTGTTGGCGGTAGAAGCTTGGCATCACAAACACTGCTTAATTCGTTCTTCCACCAAACGATCTATACCTGGGAACCAGACCTTCTCGCATAACAAACTCTTGGTCTTGATGACACCGATGTCTGATGTGGGCCAGCTCGATTACTTGATGACGCAACAAAAACAGCAACACAGCCCGTGTTTCTCAACACCTACCCGTTGAAGACTACAACTTCATCCTTCACCGTCAAATATGGAATGAATTCTCCATCTGCCAACTGCCCATGTTCAATTGCATGAATTAGCTTTTGTAACACAGCATCTTTCAAGGCGTGTTACTCTACGTCTTTCAAAGTGAGTGCACTCATTGTGCACATGTAACTTGTATAGTCCTCAGTAATATCTGTCGCTCCTGGTTGATCATCATGTCTGTACTCATGTAATCAGCAGAACTTTCGCCCTCTTTCCCTAGATGGTAGCTGAGAACACAAGGCAGCAACCGTAACCTCTATTGGTCAATCTTGGCAGATGCTTGTTTATGACTAGCAACTAACCCAGTCGGCAGCTTGTGGTCTGTTATAATATCAAAGTCACTACCATACCTGTAGAGATGAAAGTGTTTAGCGCTCTATACTAGTGTTAGTCCAGGACCTGGCTAAGATATGTATGCACATAATTTAGGAGAGGATATCTCAATTGTTTTAGGCTAATATGACCCCAAGGAACAACTTGGGATGTGTGCCAAAATCTCAATCCGGGGCGAACAGCCCCAAAATGTCCACGCCCTTGTAAAAATGACCACGCCCTTTTTCATCAGAAGTGCTACTACCGACATAGCTGTATCTTCTAAACCGTTGGAGCAACAGATATTTTGAGGTGCTCAAAATGTTCAGAATGGCCATTATATGTCTAGGGTGTCATAGAAGAGTGTAAAAGTGGATATTTCACGAGAAAATGGCCAAGGTCAACTTATTACCATACAAACAACTAATTACCTACATACTGGAATTGCCATATATTTATTAACTTAAACTTTCCGGACTTAGATCAGAGTTAGAACATTTGTGTCTTCTATAGAGAGCTTAAATGTTTCAAAGATCAGCAGGGAAATTTCCCAACAGCCAACAATACAACTTTTAACACCACATTAGTACCGGTACTGTTTATGTGTCACGTAAACCAGGGTCAGGAACACGAAGAGTAACACAACAGAGTCCACGTATGAGGATGATGAGCAGTGTTCATTCAGTGATAGGGTTTTTACAACAATCACCTCCCTTGCATTTGCAGTACTTGCAACACTTTATCCCAGCTACCCTGCAGGGACACCCATTCTTGCGAGAACACTTGCCGCACGTGCAAGGATCTGGCAGGCCATCGAGTTTTGAGAGGACAATCTCAGGGATTAATAAACTGCCCCTTCTTACAAAACCATATGACTCGGCATTCATAATCAAAGTGGCATCTCTAAATGGGGCTTGGACCCACAGCTGCTGCTGATGATAGGCTCTATGGATATGTTTGCTTCCATTAGTTGAGGTGCATGTGGTTCTCTCAAAGTCCATCTTGAGGGCATTGCTATCAAATTCAGCGAGACGCAGGTCGTCAAATGTCTTCAGGTCTGTTGATGGTTTGAGACATTTGACCAAGAATGATTCCGCCAGTTGCATTGCACTTTCTGTTAGCTGTCGACAGTCGAAATTCAAGATCAGAGTGGAATTTTCCGGTTTGCGGACAGCGTTCAGGGCTGAAAGTTTAGTTGATACTTTGCTGGTTGTATCGCACCCAGTCAGCGCATGGAGTGCTGGGAGACACTTAGACAGCTCGTCTCCCAGCGCTATGCAGATATCGTGGAGTGGTAATATTGATCTTTTCACTCCTGAGTTGCGGATGAGACAGGTCTTATAGGCCAAGATCTCTCCAATTGACTGTGATGTGGTATAACAGGCACACAAAGACATCTGTGTCTCCTGACCGGTGACTTAGAATGTCCTGCACATGGAACATCATCCTCTCATCAGCTTCCTCATGTGTGCAGTTGAGCCAAGGAAATGGAGATGCACACCCAGCTGACACCATCCATGCCTGTGGTGATATACCAAGGTATAGAGGTTTGGTGCCTTGGTAATTGGTGGTGAGCCACTCAACATAGAATGCATGGAAAGCAGTTTTGCTGATGGAAGATGACCAAAAGTTCTCTAATACCACTGGCACATTTTGGTTCGGTGATATCGCATCAAGGACAACCATTTCTTTTGACTTTCCTCTTCTCTCCCTCTCTCTATTCTTGATGCTGTCCTCTCTGTAAGCGTCGAAAACAATGTGGATCTCATCAGTTGTGCCCAGCTTTGGTGACCATAGATGTCAAGGCAATAGCAAAGTCATGGAATATCTTGACGGGCTGATCAAGCTTCTTTAACGGGACCTTTCTCACCAAGGCCATGAAGTCGATAACGATGGCGTGGGTGTGTGGGGAGGTTTCTGGCCCTTTTTTATCTATCAGTGGGCACAACCTCAGCAGCTCAGTCCCAAATTGTGATTTGGTACTCTTTCTCAAGTACCCATCTTTGTCAACCAAGAAGAACGCAGAGTTGGTGATCTCATGCTGGAGTAGTTCTTCAACAGTGAACCGCCGGTGACACCCATACTCAATAAACATGAGAGCTTTGATTGTCTCATTTTTGATGTCTGCTTTGGGAGCCAAATTCAAGCTGGTCTTACTCTTAGAGGACCTAAACTTGATTTTGCTAATAGTTGAGTGTATCGATATCGACTTATTTCTGAGTTGATCATCGATAAATTTAGCACATGCAGCACTGCCCTCCTTGATACAGCGCAACAACTTGTCTACGTTTACGTCGGTCACAATTTCTTTAGTGAGAACATTCTTCAGCGCTACCTGGTCTTGTAGAAGGCTGCATACCTTCAAGAGATACCCCTCTATGTCTTGCACCATCCCAACTATCTTAGTTGCATTACTCGAGCTGAACTCGTGGTGAAGTGAGAGTTCTCCTTTGATATCATCCTTCATCTTCAGGCGGTCAACGTACTGGTCTTTTTATGCTTGATGATTCCCCACAGAGCAACGGCTTCCTTCTTCCTGGTGACCCCAATTATCCCCCCCACACTTTGGCAGGGCGGTTGTAGCGCTGCTCTAGCGCCTGGTCAAAGTGCACTCCACTACCTTTCCTGGTGGTGTTCACGACAAATCCACCGTTCATGTAGCAGTTGTAGAGGAGTGGGAACTTCGTAGAGGAGTATGCACATAATTTAGGAGAGGATATATCAACTGTTATAAATATATGGCAATTCCAGTAAGTAGGTAGTTGTTTGTATGGTAATAAGTTGCCCTAATGGTTTTTAGCCATTTTCTCGTGAAATAACAAATTTCACACGCTTCTATGACCCCCCTAGGCATGTAATGGCCATTCTGAACATTTTGAGCACCTCCGAAAATCTGTAGCTCCAACGGTTTAGAAGATACAGCTATGTCGGTAGTAGCACTTTTGATGAAAAAGGGCGTGGTCATTTTCGGGCTGTTCGCCCCGGATAGAGATTTTGGCACACATCCCAAGTTGTTCCTTGGGGTCATATTAGCCTATAACAATTGAGATATCCTCTCCTAAATTTTGTGCATACATATCTTAGCCTGGTCCTCTACTATGTTAACATCTCTCATTCTGGTTGCGAGTATCGCTGTTTTACGCTAGAAAATGCTCAGCTCCATTCTTGTTGTCTTCACGGTGGCTACACCTACTGGACTTGTGGCGGCTACTGCTTCTGAACACTTGCTAGGATAAAAATACCCCACTCTGCACACACTGGCCTGCAACCTCAACTGTACCATCTGTACCAACTGTACCTACTGTAACTGGACAAATCTGTACCATCTGTGTTTTGAATTCATGATCACTGTCTGCAAACTCACATCTAAGACCAGTATTTCCATTGTCTGCATGTACAGCAAATGCTGGAAATGGTAATAGGCTGGCTGTCATTCTCTATTTGCTATTGAATCAGCACTGAGATGTACTGCATCTACTTATGCTTGTGCACGTAGGCTCAAGTATTGTGGGAAAGCAATCACCACAAGGCGTTTCTAGAACAAACGACAGCTGTATTCATCCGACTAGGTGCGCATTCTAACATGGCTTTTCCGAAGAAGAGGTGCATTTGCTGCGTTTTTAACAGTCAAAGTTGTCTCTGGATATTTATTGATCTGTTTTCAACCACCTTTCAGTTTCTCAATGCCAGAATATAGCTCTTGCCTGTAATGGCTCTTGATTCTCACGGGCTCTTGCCTCTAAACACGAAATCAAACAAGTCAATTTTTGCTGATGACATTGGGCCAGGCCATTGTCAGAAACATCTTAAAGTTAATGGCAAGACCATAGATATCATATAACACATGTTATATGATATCTATGGGTAAGACAAATTTTGTGTTTTTGACAAGGGGTTCATGGTTTCCAAAAACACAGATGTTTAATATAATCGTAAAGTGTGACATTTATGAGATTGTCATAAATTGTACATAAATAAAAGATTGCAGTTAGTAAAACATAATGCATTGACTACACTACAGATTAGACACATGCATGCAATAATTATCAAACATTTGTACCTCAAAATGTAGCTTCCCAATCTTGGGCCATAGAAATGAGTAGAGTAGAGCAGTACTTCCCCCTTCCACCTGTAAAGTGATAGGAATATATTGGTATGTGATTTACTCACACGAAATGTGCAATTATAGAACAGTAGCTATATTAATATATTACTATATATAGTAAGTACCTAAGATAAATGTGAAATTTTACAAGTGTGCAATGGCCATTGTAAAACCTTTAATTCGTTGAAGTTGCCAAGTAGGGATACGTGACTGAACACGTTCATAAAAGGTTCAATGGAACAATCACACAAGTGAAATTGCAGAGTATTTGTGACATTTTATGACTGTAATTTGGCAGGTAATGTTGTCAAATTGGAGAACATCTTGACGAAATTTTCACCTTTAACATATATGTCCTATGACCGCTCTAAATTCAACAAGGATTAACAGAGACAATGGCTAACACAGCTAGCTGATTACCCAGTGGCTAAACTCTCCCATTTAGCGTTATTGTCACCTTATCAATTATGACAATAATAACTGATAATTGCTAGTGATGCATCACATAACTGATGTTCCACCCAGCTACATTATAATATACCAGGTGTATTAGGTCTATTTCCCCACTTAAAAAAATACTTCTTACCTTGTATACATCTATTCCACATGAATGAATCCCGATCAGGACACTGCCCAGAGTGCCCGTCTTTCGATCCTTTAGCTTGTGTAGGTTCATGTTGTGGGCAGCCCCCTCTCTTGATGCATCAATTATATATTGCACTTGTGCCTCTGCACGAGAAATGCCACGGTGTGACCGATGGATAACCGGTATGTGGGTGACAGCATAGTCTGGACCATGCAACAGTATCAACTGTGGGAATAAAACAAATATGACACTCAGTGACTCAGCTAATAGCAAATGACAAGCCCCACTAGCAGTATCTGCACCCAGCAACATAGGCAAACAGGGCAGTATAATATATAACTTATTTAAGCACAACTTTGTGAAAAATGGTAAACATTATTGCAGTACAGCATCGCTGTTTGTCATTTACCATTGTATGTGTAGGAATTAAGTACGTACACAACTGAATGCAGTACCTTAGCGTATTAAATAGAGTAATTAAAATAATATTCCAATTACAAATTTAGAAATCATCACAGCTAATCTGCAACATTAATATACTTCAACACGTTTTGAATGTCAAAGACATTGTTAACTGGTTTCGAGTTCAAAATAAAATCTGGTGTAGGTTACACTGCTCCAAACAGAGAGAATAAACAACTGAGGCACATGATAACACACATTTTACAAGCTACATCTATCCAGTTTTTCCCCTACAATCAGTTATGTCCCTGCACCAATGCGCAAGCGCTCGGTCAGCCGCCATGCTACGTTGCTTTGTAATGGTACAAAAATGCCAGATAATTGGCCGCCATAAAAAGCAGGTGCTTTAAATTTCCGAGACAGTTTTCATTCCTTTATTGATGCTGAATGAACAGGTGAGGCAGCACTCAAAGGACCAGCAAACTAGATGCAATTATAGCAGTATTATAGTCATCTGGCATGAAAGAATGCGAGCATGAGTCAGAGGCAGCTGGCCAGTACATACGTATGGCATATCCATAACCCCCCCCCAACAATATGTCCGTCCGGCCACAGATCACTCATACTTAAATGTGGTGTCTGATCAGTACAGCGCCATAGGCTATAATGCGACACCGCACACGATAATGCATTATCATGCTCAGAATTTCACATCCAAATATGTGCACTGGTATTTGACACAATTTTCTGCTGTAAAGATGCGTGCGGGTGCCCCAAGATGACATGTACACTGTCAACCATATGCCACTACTAGCCGTATGGTTGTTTTTATCCTCACCCAACTAGGCAGGTATAGTGCTGGGTCAAAGTATTGCCCCACGTGCTTGTCCTCATTGAAGTTGCCGAGGTCTGCTTGCAATGCATACGATGCTAGCAGATAGCACTGCTCCTCGTTACGCAGGTGTTGAGTGAACACTAAGTTACGTCGAAGTTGGAGGTAGTACAGGTATCGTGAAATCCTATCACTGAAAGTTCACAAATAAAGAAATTATGAACTGTGCTGTCATTCAGCAGGATGATGTCTAAAGTCATGGATGCTGGGTGGCAAATTCGGTATATGTCTCTCTCTCTCGGTATGGCTTTTGTAATGCAATTTCCTGGCAACAATAGTGCAATTAAGGATACACTCATACATGCATCGTTATATATGGAGAAATAATCAGTGTCAGCATCTAGGCTAACACAATAGTGTCAGCCATTGAATAAGAATGAAAATGTAAAATTAATGAAATTTCACATAAACCCGTAAGTGCTTATTGTATCCTAACTTGTTTTTAAATTGGTATTTTTAATATTTGCATCGGTGCATATGATTTGATTTAAACAATTTATAGATTTCATATTCAGGAAATAAGTCATTATAGTATAACCAGCTAGGACTACGAAGAAATTTGTTATAGTTATCCTGCAATTTTTTTAAGTGTGACATGATACGTACGTGAGAAGCAGGTGATGATCCAGGTAAAACTGTACTTGTAGGTAGAACACAACGGTTGGCTTTCCATTAGAATCTAGGCCCTAACAGTAAAAAACGGCAAGATTACAGTTACATATTGACAACATTTACATGATTTAGTAAGGTGACTGGTCACAAGTTTTAACCGTTAAGCTCATGCACAGCTGAGCTTAATGTGTCTCTAATGTATGGGTTATGCTTCCTGTCCAGGGTTCTCCCCAGGATGAAATTCAAACGGGGGGGGGAGATTTTCCAAACGGGGCGGAGGTAATTTAAACGGGGCGCAACGATTCAAACGGGGGGGGGAGATTTTCCAAACGGGGCGGGCGCGCCCC